TTCTTTAGTCCTTCGGTAAATGTGAGGCAGGGTCTGATGACCCTTGTTCAGACGGCAGGTCGTCACCAGCACTACAGCTGACCTGCTGTGAACAGCTCTGCACCAGCAACAAAGCCATCGGCCTGATGGGAGCCATTCGGAGGACGAGTCCAGGACAGGAGAGCAAGCGCTCAGGACATCATTCACTTTCTTAATAATCACAGAACCACATCAGAGAACCGAGCACACATTTCAGAGCAAGCGGTCACTCAGCGCTAAAGACGAAGCTAAAATAAGCTTTTACATCCTCCGCAGAGATTAAAAATAAATGAAAATATGCAGGTGTGTCTCTGTACACTGCAAAAAATGGTGTCTTGACAAGTAAAATTATCTTAAATATAGTCAAAAATCTAATATTTCTCCTGTTGAGATTACTGTCAGCTTAATTTAAGATTATTTAACCTTTGTCTATTCATTTTTTACTTGTTTCAAATAATTTTATTAAGTTAAATTATCTCACTATGCAGATAATTGTGCTTGTTGTAAGAAATTAGTTTAAACAGGAAAATTATCTGCCAGTGTAGTGAGATAATTTTACTTAATAAAATGACCAAAAACAAGTAAATAATTTCCAGAACTAAGCTAAATAACACAACCATCCAAAAATGGGAAATAGTAGATATATCAACTAGATTTAGGATCATTTCACTTGACAAGATCCCATTTTTGCAGTGTAGAGGACGTGTTAACTTACTTTCTCTTAGAGAATCAACAAAAACATGGAATTTGACCAGGGCGCACAAACTTTGGCACACAAATGTATATGTGACAGTAGTTGGGAACAGAGTTGGAGTCATTAATTAAAAAAGCAATGTAATCAGTAAAGTAAAAACAATCAGTTATTTGAATGTTTGAAAATGTTTGAATACCTAAAACAGTTTAAAAACAGCTGAAAATAAAACCTGAAATTAATCTGTAATAAGCTGCAGCCCGGCCTGTTAAGGTGAGCCGGGGCTCTCTGCTCTTCAGCGCGTATAATCCATACAGAGGAAATCTGCGTTTTAAATGCATTGTGTGTATTTAATTGCTCTCTTAGAGACGTATGAGTAACATGAGTAACGTGATTCTCTTTAAATCAGTAACTGTAATGTGTTTACAACAATTTAAGCTGTAACATGTTTCACTACTTTGTTTGCAAGAAAGTTTAATCATATTAATGTAAAGCATGACTTTACTGTAACATTGGTGGCACCAAAAACAAAGAGAAACCCCCTCTACAATAATGCTAGGTTCTGCTAGCACCCCTATGGGACTTTAGTAGTGTTTTAGCACTGAGCTCATGACGACATGAACAGTTTTTGGCTGTTCCAGATTAAACACGGATGTCTGAATCTTATGAAAGTTGTTCTGTATGTTTTATCTGAAGTTTGTAACAGACATTATCATATATCTGAGCCTGTATGTATCAATTTTACAGTGACCTTTTCAGTAAAGAGTTCTGACACTGAGCTGCTGCCACTGTTTTACATTCCTAACAACTAACCAGAACCTGCTTAGACTACAGCTATTCACAGTCAGTTATCTAGAACTTTTAGAAGATGTTTTCTCATCAGAGCATGGTCAAATCAAAGCATGACTGGTTTATTCTTCTATCACACAATGGTGTTTATTTGTCGAGTGAAATGATCCTAAATGTAGTCGATATATCTAATATTTCTCATTCTGAAATTGTTGTAAGGTTATTATAAGATTATTAACTTGTATGTAGACTTTTTACTTGTTTTAAGTGATTTTTGTAAGTCAGGTGATCTCACTGTTGGCAGATCATATTTCTTGTTTGAAGCTCATTTCTTACAACAAGCAAAATGATCTGCCAACACAGTGAGGAAATATGACTTATGAAAATCACTTAAAACAAGGAAAAAATGTCTAGATTTAAGTTTTAAAATCATATAATAAGCTGTGTTTATTTCATTACACCCCCCTCACTTGTCCTCCAAAATGAAAGATGTGAAGCGTAACCATAATAACAAGCGTTTTGATGATGTTGCCATGAATTATGAGGAAATTAAGATTGAGCTGGATTGATGTAAAAGAATGAACTCAGATCTGATTGTTCAGAGTTATTTCTTTGGTTCTTTATACAGAAGGTAAAAGGCAGCAGAACCTTTCCTGATGCGAGAGCGTTCAAAATTGAAACATACAGTGTTTAAGGCCATAAAACCAACAAATACAGGAGGAAGAAACTGCACCCTCAATAAATGCATAATAAAAAGTACATTAATTTCACTCCTCAGCGACCTCAACGTCCTTAAAAGGTTCTGCACCGATGAGTCATTTCAGCAGCTGCTCTGTGAATGAAGAACCCGCATTATCAGAACTATCAGTTCGAGGCCTTAGCGAAGGTATCAAAGGGGCGACGTATGGTTTAAAATAGTGAACTGAGTCTGGTGTAATCTGACCCTGGGGGTGATTGTTGTGTATGTGGGTCACCTGACAGAGTAAAGCGTTCATCCGCCACACCTGTGTAACACCATAAAAAGGTAATAAGCACTGAACAGCCTGAGCTCGCAAACAGAGCGAGCGTTTAGTCATCAGATAAAGCGCGAGAGTTCGGACGCCCCTCACGCTGTAATTATACCGTCGTCAAGTGATCTGTGTCCTGTGATTCAACACCAGACCAGCTTTTCAGTTTCACCACCAACATTCATCACAGATACTCAGGAGAAAAGCCCGGCCAGAGGATTGGGCAGATGTGCTGGGATTACACGGAGAGGTGCCACACAGTAACAGGGTAATCACTATAACAAACAATAGTGCAGCATAATCACTACAATAACACAGAATACTCACCACAATAATGCAGAATAATCACCACAAGACAAAATAATCACCACAAAAATGCAGAATAATCACCACAACAACGCAGAATAATCACCACAATAATGCAAGACAATCACCTTAATGAGGCAGAATCAACACAATAATCCAGAATAATCACCAAAAAAGTGAGCTTTGAAGAAAAATGTATTCAAACTTATCCAAGTTTAACCCTTAGAAGTTGCTGATATTGCTGTTGATATCAAACTCATCCTACTGTATAATATGCTGAACCAAGGAATTTTATATGAATAATTTATGACTCGTAGCTCAATGAAACAAGATGAGAAATTGTGTGGAAATATTTTTGTATGATTAGGGTTCAATGAAAGTTATTGTGGTGTGTACAGTTTTGTTTTTTATAAAGATTTTTTGCTATTTTAGTCATTTTTGACAGGAAAAGTCAGAAGTGCAGACTCGTACCTATCAATACAGAATGTAAATCAAATGGAAATGTAATTCACGCAAGTGATTATGAATTACTTTTTTATGTAATTATGTTTACATGTTATAAATAATAAAACAAACAACAACAAATCTACTTCTCTCTCGACTTCTAAGGGTTAAAGATAACAAAGTAAACATGAGGAGGCAGAGAGGTCCGTCAAAACAGATTAATTATTAAAATTAATTTCACTACGTGGCCAATTATTTCATAACCTTCACCACACCTTCACTTTATCAGACTGGAACCAAACCCAAACGCTGGTCAGGAGGCAGATTACAGGACACAGCAAATGCTTTCAAATTATCATAAGTCGTAACGAGTGAGCCGTATATGAAAAAAATGAATATCACAGTATAATTAGGATTACTGACGATTTCAGTATATATCACGTTATCATGTATTTATTTATATTTTTCCAAATACAAACAATTTGGAAGCTTAAATAAACCTTTTTTGTAGATTAACAGCAGCGTATGATTCTGGACGTCCATCCATTTTTAATAAGAAACATTTAACAACTGAAGTAGATTTTTACATAGATAGATACTTTATTGATCCCGAAGGAAATTAAAAATTTTACTTGGAGAAACTGTATATATATGAAAAATATATCGTCAGGTGTCAGTATTGCTTTTTAACCCTAACGAGATAAAGGTGATTTTCCCGTTCCACATTAAATGTGCCATAATGTAACTGCTGCACCATTTAAGGTGGAATGGGAAAATTAAAAAACAGAAGCTGGCAGACAGGAAGATGACTTCAGCTGGAATTTAGGAAATATTACAGCTGTTCACTCTATCAGTTTTAGCCAAGAAACTGTGGAGCCTCTCGACTTGTAGGCTGAGACCGCGGCGTTGCCTGAAGCAGCCGGCCGAGCGAGGAGTGCAGTAGGTGGAGCACAGGGGGAGCCGGCTAGTCTCCATGCTAGGCTAATGGATAACGGCTAACCCCAAGAGACTGGCTTTTCCTTCCACTCTCCTTTTCTCATTAACTCATTACAGTCTGATGTCGCTCCTTTGACAATAAACTAGACTAACTGACCTCAGACTGCAGCTCAGTACACGTGAGGTGAGGGAATCAGTGTCTTCTGCACTGTTTCTACGTCGCATTATCTGCATTTATATGCACACCGAAATAACGGTAATGACAAAACTAAGACCTTAAAAAGAAATTCCACCGGATTAACTTGTATATCGCCCACTACTATGAGTAGCATAACTCACAAAATGACCTAAAGGTAAAATGTACAGTAAAAAAAGCGAAGGCCCTAAAATGGAGCCCTGTGGAACGCCACAAGAATGTTAACTCATTTTGATAGATGATTTCCCAAAGCAACAAAAAACTGTCTATCAAATATGATTTAAATCATTCTAAAACCCCTATATAATCCTCAATCACGGAATGAAGCACAAGCACACACTCAAAAAGGGAACCAAGGGTGTTTTTTGGCTTACAAACAGAAAATACGCTGACAATATTCTGTACCAAGTACTGCTTTCTGTTTGATTGTATGAAAATGTGTAGTATATTTGAGTTCATACAACAAATGTGAGATGATGGATGACCCAAGCAGAATGTGGTCATTTTGTGGCATGTCAACATGAATTATACCACACAGTCAGATACGGAAGACATCATTGGCATCGTCTCGTAGTGTGACCTCATTGCACGGTCCCTCGATTTAATGTCTTACCCAGTCCTCCACGTCTCTGCCCTCCGGCCCCCCGGTCAGCGGCTCGTCCCAGTAAACGTTGGGTTTTCCATAGCGCCAGATTTTACTCCTCGTCTTGTAGGAGAAGAAGGCAGCCACAGCCAGAGCAATCACAACCAAAAAGCCACAAACCATCGCCACCGCCTGAGAGACAGAGAGGAAACAACAACAGTCCTTCAGCTCACAGATACACAGTCGTACACAAACGTCTGAACACCCCCGAACAAATTACGCGTTTTTTGTCTAAATTCTCAATATAAATATGTAAACTCATCGTCTAGAGAAAATATGCTTCAGCACCTTTTAATGCAGGTTACTGTTTATTACTGAACTTAACATGTTGAGGGGAAAATAAAACCTGAAATGCAGCCTGTGCAAAGGTTATGGCACATTTTATATTTTATCTTTTCCCAATATGTTCAACTGAGCAAATAGAAATTGGTAATTGAATTCCATATTTCCATAAGTGGGTTCCTCTATAGACTCACATTGATTTTTTGCAGATTTTTATAGCCCTTTATTTAAGACATGTTACAGAATCAAAGCTATTTTGGTTGTCAGATTTTTCAGCTCATTATCATCACCACGATCATCTTAATTCCCACCAGGGCCTCTATGGGATTTGTTACGTTAGTGCCAAGCTAATAAATGTGCATTTACTTTTTCCAACAGTGGATTTAATACTGTCAATATCCGCTCCAGCTTAACCAGTGAAAGAGATCTGAAACTTGTAAGAGTTTCCCAGTGGTTAATTCAGTAAATACTTTAACTCTGAATATTATTGGATGAGCGTGTCAGCCTGTGAGTCAGGCTGTTTGTTCTTGCACAGGGCATGATAAGTATATTTTTAGGACTTGCAATTTGGGGCATACGCTCAGTCCAAAACCTAATTAAATATTACAAGATGACACATAATTTACTCCATTTCTTATTCCAAACTACACATATTACCCAAAAACCCAAGAATTACAAAAAGAGTGAGATGAGTTTGGATCTGTGTATCAAAGGTTTTGTTTTAAAACACCTTAAACTGATTTTTTTTTTTTAATACATTTTCTATTTTTTTCCATGATATATGTTGTTTGGAGTGGGCTTTACACATATAAGACATATCAATGCTGTCCAATGATTAATATAACATTTATTAGAAAAATAAAACTCTTTATATCCAAAACTGTTACAAATGGATTTACAGCATTTTAGAAAGAAAGTCTTTATATATATTTCAAAAATTATGTAGACAGCCTTAATTAGGCTACATTAAGCCATCAGTTACTAAAACGATGAAATAAATCTTCTACACAGATACTTACACATGAAATGTCTTGCTGCACCCCTTAAACTGGGTACTTTTGCAGGAAGACGTGGCTCATATTTAAAGAATATGTTAATTAAGTCCATTTACAACTATTTATTTTACAGGGAGAATCAATATAGCAGCCTAGTAGCTTCACACAGCTGTGTATAAAATGACATCCTTAGTTATCTAAGATACTATCACAGACTTGTTTTTCATTCTTTAATGCATTAAATAAAGGGTTTGTTCACCTTTCCACTACCTGTCAAATATGAGTTACTGCTGTACTGTTTACTTGTAAGCAGGGACACTTAATTACGCTCCAGTTCAGTTAAACACAGCCTGCACCTACACATTAGAAGAGTTTGTACTAATGTCACTGTGACATAATGTGTTTTTGACACTGCTTAATAAGATCAAATTGTAACATACATTATTTCCTCATACAGTGCAATGATAATATCTCTACATTTAACTTATACTACAATTTATTGTTCATATTTTGCGTTTTAGGTCTAATTCAGGCTGCACATGCTCTTGTATTGTTTTGTACTGTTCTTGGGAAATCAATTAAGTTCTGATATCATATTGTAAACTGTGGTTTTAAAATTGTGAGTTGAAAACAATCAAGAAACAAGACAGAAAGAGACACAAGAGTCGCTGGTGTCCAGTGTTTCACTGATGATCTAAAACTGGCTGAGTGACCACGAACACAAAAGGCTGAAGTCTGATACGGATGACCCCTGACCTCTAAACTGGACAACACACTGGCACTACAAAGCTAATGCAGCTAGTAATGGAAATTTAGCATTAGCCACTTAGCATAGTTCTAGCTACATGCCTAAATCATCACTCACTCAACTCTAGCCGTGTGGAGCTGTTCAGTAATCTCCAATAGACTTTACAGAGAAAAAAACTGTGGGCAAAAATTTCTGTCTTCAAAGACGGCGCTACCGTTTTAGCTTAGCTAATTTGCATTAGCTTCTGTTAACAGTGGTAACTCACTGGTAACAGTGAGTCATACAGAGTCAGAAACCACAGAATCCAGTCTATTAGAGCTCCTGAACAACTGAGAGGATAATAAACATACAGTTAGCACCATGCTAATAGGCTAATATAAGCTTGCATTACTTGGTAGCTAAGTTAGCCTTGTAGCTCCAGCGCTAAACTAATGAAGCAAACACGTCTTAGCTGATCATTTGAGGTTTGGTTGGGGGTCTGAACTCCACAACACATGAATCTGTGAGCTGACAGCAAATTGTTTTGATTCACGATTCATTGGTTTTCAATTCAAGTCAAAAACGATTTTTCTGAATTAAGAACGATTTGAGTTCAGTGATCTACACTGCGATTTGATTCAGTGATTCAATTCAGCAACTCAAGCACCATTAAGAATTATGGTAATTAATCAAAAGTGTGATATACTGAATGAAAAGAATCTCATATTTCTCTGGCAAAAACTGAATCCGTTAAATTGTAGCTCTAAACAGGCTAAACTGCCTGAACGCAGAACAAAAATACTGATTAAAGATGATACACACAACCCACACAGCGAGCATATATCGGTCCGCTGGCTTGATAAGTTCGCTGCCACTGCTGGTACACCCTCGGACAACCCAGATTACTAGTTTTTAATCTCCTCAAACAGATTTTAAATGCACAGAGACTTTTATTTTGGAAAATAAACTAAGACAAATATTACAAACAACTGAGAGAGAAAAAAAATGACTAGGCCTGATATAAAATGGTTTTATAGAGAATGTTGTTGACGCTGAGCTGGATTAAAATTATTTAATAGACTAATTTATAAAGTATAACTAAAGAAAGGAAGGAAGGAAAAATCAGTAAACTGGACAGTGAGTGGAAAATGAGTGATGATGAATGGAATTTTCTCTAATACTCTGCTTAACCACTGGGTTGCCCGGAAAACGCCAGTGGACCACCAGCTCTGCCATCAGTGGGCTGACAGTGGACCACTGTCCTCTTGCTATCAGGGAAGTTAAAGATGGCACGGAAAAAGAGGAAAATGTACTACTTCTCCCCAAAATAAATAATAGCGGATTAAAATGATGTAGCCACACAGCGGATCTCAGTGCAGTGCGGTATCACATGCGTTTGTTTAAACAAGTTAAACAAATCACAATTTGTTTGATTTATAGCATTAAAAAATCCATTTTCAATGCATACAGTTATTATTTATTACAGTATTATTTACTTATTATAAATGTTGCATCAGCAATGAAACGTAACCCCACTTGTGTGATGATATAGGGTGTGCAGTGAGCACCGCGCTAATTTGTTGCTATAGGCCTTCTTATCCGTTAGCTTCCATTACATTAGCCTCGCAGCTCCAGTGCTAAAACTAAATTTACACACCAAACATGGCTGAACATCTACACAGAGCGTAAGTGGGAAAACTCTGGAAATCTGATTTTTCACTAAACATATCGCTGTTATCGGAAGAAAACCTCGTATCTCCAAAATTGTAACTTTACAGGAGAAGGAAAAAACCTGCTTTACTTTTAATGTAAGTCAATGGAACTAGAATTTCTTCCAAGTCATTGTGGGTCATTTCTTTTAGTCCATTCATCATGAAATTTACATACAATGTAAAGAGCAACAGGCTTTTTCAAGTTATGTCAAAAACCGAAAAACAACAAAAATGGAGATATGAGGTTTTCAGTGATATGAGGATAAATGTTCATGCTTAGCTGTTACCTCCTGTGGATCGACGTAGCAGTAGTGGTAGAGGTACTGGTTGTAGAGCGGGAATCCTGCTCCCATTCCGCTCACACTGTTCCCGTACAGACTCTGGCACATCATTAGCATGGGGTTGTAGAGCATGCTGGAAGAGCTCTGAGCCATGGGGTTGACTCCCACGATGTAGACGATGTTTATGATGCCCTGAAGCACGGCTAGAACAATGCTGCACACTAGCACGGCTAGGTAGAACTTCTTGCTTCTCACGGCCCTCGTTTTGGAGAAACTAGCCACGAAGAAGCCTAGAGCCACGATAAAGTTGATGGCTGCCATCGCGATCATTGCGGTCTTGGCGGTGTACGGTGTCGGGTAGTTGTAGTATCCGCTTCCATAGTAGCCAGAGCCAAGGCCTCCATAGCCGTAGCTTCCATATCCGTATCCAGAACCATAGCCGGTACCGTAACCGACCCCAAGCCCGGTTCCGTAACCATAACCGTACTGTAAATCCCAGACCAGCGTGGACGCAACACAGGCGAAAATTCCCAAGCACAAGACCACGATAGCGCCTTCCATGATCTTCACTATGCCCGGCGGGGAGGACCATTTGTAGAAGTGCTGGGGAATCTCCTCGCCCACGAAGTAGGACCCGGGAGGGGGAGGGTACTCATCCATCTCGGTCCGCGGGGGCTGGAAGCTACCCGGGGGTCCGAAGCCGTTGGACGGAGGACTGTACATAGGGGGGCTGTCGTACGGCTGCTTTTCAAACATCGCTCACGGTTGGCGAGGAGGACACCTGCCAAAAGAAGGTAAAGACTTTAGTGCACACTTTCAATGTATTTACACCATTTTATAGTTTTGCAAATACAACCAAATTTGCCCAGTTTCCCATTTTAACCACATGTAGTTGATTAGCTGAGACACGTTTGGTGTCGGAAGTTTTCTTCTTTATTTTTAGCGCTGGAGCTACGAGGCTAATGTGGCTAAAACTTAACAGAAGCTTTGGGACAAAATGGACAAAATACATACAAAATTCAGGCTTCAAGAAAGTCTGTTAGAACTCCACACAGTCTGAGTCATGTATGTGATCATTTAGCACCATGCTAGTGGTGGATTATGGTGATATTTTTTATAGGTTTACTTCAAAGACAACATTACATTCACTGGACTCAGTTCATCATTCAGCATTAAGATTTATAACAGGCGCTAGATATTCAGCTCATCACCGTGAACTGTATGAAATGGTTGGATGGCCTTTACTTTCAGTGCGAAGACAAATTCATTGGATATTTTTTGTCCATAAAGCAATAATTGGTCAGCTTCCTGCATATTTGTCTGCATTCATATTTAAGCAACAGAACCTGAGAGGGAGTGTGTTATCGTGAAATAACATCGTGGCTGTGATTAGATCATCACAGTGATAAATAAAGTAATAAATTAATAAACTGGGCCGTGAACGCGGCGTTTAATATGTTTTAATGTTCGCAGTTCCTTCACCAAATTATAGTTCCTTAACGAGCAGCTTGTTGCTACGTCAGAGTAATGAGCTCCGCCCACTCGCTGCACAGCCGACAGTTCGTTCTCCAGCTCCTTACACTAAATTCCCAAACTGTCATCACCACTGAGCAGCTTTTCAGTCGGCAGCTGTGACAGAAGAACAGCTAAACAACCTGGAATCAGCCAGAAATGAACCCAACACCATTCGCCAAACGTGGAGTCTGATCTTCAGAGTCTGACCAAATCAGACTGAGCCATAAAACTGCCGCAATATCAAGTTCAGCTCAGTTTTGTCAGTTTTTTCCAGATCAGTATTAATGTTGTTTTGTTCCAGCCAGTCTGTAAAGCATCTTACAGCCCGTTTAGTTTGGCGAATGGTATTGGGTTCATTTCTGGCTGAAACAATATCTTCATCAGTGCGATGTTGATTCTGAGATCATTTGAGGCCTGAAACATTGAGCTGGACCTACTTTTAGAGTCTGTGTGTGACGTTATTACGTAAAGACGTACGACGTGGTGTGAAAAACTCGACGCCTCTGACTTTTAAAGGATTATTTCAGGCTTTACAGGGCGACTTGCTGCAGCTCACGCTCATCATATTTTAGCCTGTTTATATTCTTCTCACTCAGTAATGATGCTTCTTTCAGTCTTAACAGCAAAATCATACATGGTGTAGCTTTAATGTAATTTATAAAAATGTATATGAAATTTATAAAATGAAAATATTATTTAAAAAATATATATATTGATTTATTATAAGTTCATTTTTGAAGCTTTACAGCTTTCTCAGTTAATACGGAAGCATCTACTGTTCTGTTCATCATAGAACATTCCTTCAGTTTTTTTAAACTTGTAGAATATTTCATATATCATTTTATACATTTAGAGCAAAAATGTGATATATTATTCAAAAAGTGATTCCAAATATTTGACCTGTACACTCTTCAAGGTTCTTCAAGTGTTCTTTAGGTGGTGCATGGTTAGATGGTTCTTCAGATTGATGGAGAATGTGTTGTATATGGTTCTATATACAACCTTTATGAAAAGGGTTCTATGTAGCACCAAAAAGGTTCTATTCTATATAACCATGACATCATAACATTACCAAAACGCTTATAGGTGCATATAGAACCATATACAACACATTCTCCATCAATCTGAGGAATGCAGAGAACCATTTAAGCATGAGATGGTTCCCTGAGTGTTCATGGTTCTATACAGAACCACTGTCTTTACTAAAGAACCCTTGAAGAAGCATCTTTTTGAAGAGTGTAGAGTGTCTAACTCCTAAAGCACAGAGTATGCTGTGATGACTAAATGAGCTCTTTTCTGCTCCAGTAAAGGAACAGAAAGATAAAAAACTGTAAGCAGTATAACGTCTTTATAACATACATAACATCTTTATAACATCTATGTCACATCTGCCAAGCTTACCCAGTTTAACTCCCAGTGTTTGGAATGGATCACTCATTAATTCACTCACTATTCACCACATAGTGTTTGGTAGAGGGTGAACTGAGTGGTGAAAGATGTTTCAGTGAGAACAACACTAAGAATGGCTGCCACACTATAAAGTGCAGGGTTTCTGTAAGAGTGGTTTATTCCAAAGGAGTCAGAGCCAAAATACATATAATCTGGATTCACACAGCAGCATATGAAATATAAAGTCTTGTAAAAAGGTTATTTGTCCTGTTATGCCCGGCCTGAACGTGCAGGATAAACATACTCAGTTTATCTGTCAATCTGCATAGTTAAAACATGACTCAACCTGCCACAGATTCAGTGTCTCATTTTACTCAGCATCAGTCTTACTGTTGCACTGTCATAACTGGCCACTTTATTAGAAACACCCACCTTGTGCTTCCACTAACTGGCCACTTTATTAGAAACACCTACCTTGTGCTTCCACTAACTGGCCGCTTTATTATCATGTAATTTATGTTATTAAACACTCATTTTTGACGAGACTGTGCGAGTATGGTGATCAAGTCACAGGCCTAAAAATGGCCACATGCACCGACCTGCGGACCCCCGTGTACAGCGTGTAAAAGCGCAGTGTGAGGAGTGCGCGCTCGGCAGTGAGGTAAGAGGAGAAAGCCGAATGGAGACGGCACCACCAGGAGTCCACACACTGAGCTGCTGTTCAGCGGAGGTGTGGTCAGTGCAAGTGTGGTCAGCGCGAGTGTGGCGAGTGGGAGTGAAGCTGAATCTCCCTCATTGTCCATCTGAGTCAGTGCCAGCTGGACTCACTGCTCTGCTCTGTTTAAGATCACACACGCTGGACCAGAATCACTCCACACTAAAAAAAACAGCTTTCAAGACTTTTTTAATGACTGCATTCATTTCAGTGTGTGAGATGTAAACAGAGAGATTCAGAGTGGTTTGGTGTGAAATGGTTCAGATGTCTTTACAGTGGTGGTGATAGGAACCAGGGGTCGCCATGACTACAACACAAATATATACATTTTATTTACTATCCAGAACCACCAGTGAACCTACACGAGTCTTCTGAGTCTATATGGAATGTTGATGATGGAAAATAGAGGAAAATCTGAAATAATAAGTTTTCTTTGGGGACTATTTTGCCTCACAGCGCCCTGCATGTATCCCTCCACCATGAATGGAGTTTAAGTTCTCAAAACTATCATAAAACAGTGTCTCAGTCATCAGGCAGTGAATTCATACTCAGTGTTACAGATAATCACATTACATTTGTCTGTAATGCAGTAATATGACACGACACTGTTCTTAAAGCCATTTTACACAAAAATCAATCAACCTCTCGTCACACAACTTTGGCTAGAGTTTGGCTGGATAAAAATGGCAGAGCAGGGGTGGAGTTATGCAAAAGGTGTGACATGTAGGGGGTCCCTGGGGGGTCTGGGACCCGCTTTATTAACCTCATGGACCCCTGAAAGTCATGAACAATTCTGACTCACACCAAACCACTCTAAACGACTCTGTTTACGGCTTAACCCGCGTTAGCACCAAGCTGACTGGCTACTACTAATAAACTTTGATTAAGCTAGTTAGCTACATTAGCCCCAGTGCTAAAAGTAAAGGAGCAAATTTCAGACACGGCTGAGGGACTACATTCGGGGTGAAGTGTGTTGCCTGAATGATTGCTTTAATAAGTGAATAATAAGCCTGTAGTTTAAAGGATTAAACTGTTTGTGGCTATTTTTAATTCGGTGTATGACTGTAATGGTTTAGTGACCCGTGTTGTGCCCGTTACTAGCTGCTGGACTCTGGCTGGCCGGTGAAGGAATGCAGACTGAGCTATTGGCTCTTCTTGTGCACCTACAACCCCCCTCATCAGTGCCCCCCTGCTACTCACCCCCCACCCCCCACTACTCACCCCCCACCCCACTCCCTGCAGGGGCGAAAAGTCAAGGCTGCCTGAGCGTGGTTACCATGGTAACCAGTGTGGGGGGAGAAGAACAATGAGTGAGTGTAAGAGAGAAAGAGAGTAAGAGAGAGAGAGAGAGAGAGAGAGAGAGAGGGTAACAATGTGTCTGCGTGAGTTTACACTGCTAGACTGAGAGTACGTGTAAGAAAAAGAAAGAGAAGAGAGAGTGAGAGGGAAACAAGAGAGAGAGAGAAAGAAAAACAACGTTAGTAAGAGTAAGAAAGAGAAAAAAAAGAGAAACAGGGCTGATAGAGAAAGAGGACAGAAAAGAGAGTGCGAGAGAGAGAAAGAAAGAGAGAGAGAGAGAAGGAGAGAGAGAGACAGATGGATAAAACAAGAGATCCTCTGTTTCTGCTCTGTAAAGTGTGTGTGTATTTGGATGTGAGGATCAGGTTAAGGTGTGTGTGTGTGTGTGTGTGTGTGTGTGTGTGTGTGTGTGAGAGTGTGTGTGTGTGTGTGTGTGTGTGTGTGAGAGAGAGTGTGTGTGTGTGTGTGTGTGTGTGTGTGTGTGAGAGTGTGTGTGTGTGTGTGTGTGTGTGTGTGTGTGTGTGTGTGTGTGTGTGAGAGAGAGTGTGTGTGTGTGTGTAGAATCAGCTCCTATTTACCCACAAAATTATCACACACAGAACTTTGTACATGTTTTAAAATCTCTTGCAGTAATAGAACAACAAGAAATTCTGAACAACACTGTAAAACACTGTACAGTACTGAACACCACCAAAAAACACAGTACAGTACTAAAACAACACTGTAAAACAATGTACAGTACTGAACAACACTGTAAAACAATGTACAGTACTGAACAACACCAAAAAAACACTATAGTACTAAACAACACTGTAAAGTTGTACAGTACTGAACAACACCGTAAAACACTACAGTACTGAACAACACTGTAAAACACTACAGTACTAAACAACATTGTAAAGCACTGTACAGTACTGAACAACCCTGTGAAACACTGTCTAGTACTGAACAACACTACAGTACTAAACAACACTGTAAACCACTACAATACTGAACAACACCGTAAAACACTGTGCAGTACTGAACAACACCGTAAAACACTGTGCAGTATTGAACAACACTGTAAAACACTGTGCAGTACTGAACAACACCATAAAACACTGTGCAGTACTGAACAACACTGTAAAACACTGTGCTGTACTGAACAACACCGTAAAACACTGTGCAGTACTGAACAACACCGTAAAACACTGTGCAGTACTGAACAACACCAAAAAAACACTGTATAGTACTAAACAACACTGTAAAATTGTACAGTACTGAACAACACCGTAAAACACTGTGCAGTACTGAACAACACCGTAAAACACTGTGCAGTACTGAACAACACCAAAAAAAACACTGTATAGTACTAAACAACACTGTAAAATTGTACAGTACTGAACAACACCGTAAAACACTACAGTACTGAACAACACTGTAAAACACTACAGTACTAAACAACATTGTAAAGCACTGTACAGTACTGAACAACCCTGTGAAACACTGTACAGTACTGAACAACACTGAACAACACTACAGTACTAAACAACACTGTAAACCACTACAATACTGAACAACACCGTAAAACACTGTGCAGTATTGAACAACACCGTAAAACACTGTGCAGTATTGAACAATACTGTAAAACACTGTGCAGTACTGAACAACACCAAAAAAACCACTGTATAGTACTAAACAACACTGTAAAATTGTACAGTACTGAACAACACCGTAAAACACTGTGCAGTACTGAACAACACCAAAAAAAACACTGTATAGTACTAAACAACACTGTAAAATTGTACAGTACTGAACAACACCATAAAACACTGCAGTACTGAACAACACCGTAAAACACTGTGTAGTACTGAACAACACCATAAAACACTGCAGTACTGAACAACACCATAAAACACTGTGCAGTACTGAACAACACCGTAAAACACTGTGCAGTACTGAACAACACTGTAAAACACTACAGTACTAAACAACATTGTAAAGCACTGTACAGTACTGAACAACCCTGTGAAACCCTGTACAGTACTGAACAACACTACAGTACTGAACAACACTGTAAAACACTACAGTACTAAACAACACTGTAAACCACTACAATACTGAACAACACTGTAAAACACTGTGCAGTAGTGAACAACACCGTAAAACACTGTGCAGTACTGAACAACACCGTAAAACACTGCAGTACTGAACAACACCATAAAACACTGTGCAGTACTGAACAACACCGTAAAACACTGTGCAGTACTGAACACCGTAAAACACTGTGCAGTACTGAACAACACTGTAAAACACGGCAGTACTGAACAACACCATAAAACACTGCAGTACTGAACAACACCGTAAAACACTGTGCAGTACTGAACAACACTGTAAAACACGGCAGTACTGAACAACACTGTAAAACACTGCAGTACTGACCACTGAACAATACAAAATGAAAAATACTGAAAAACACTGAACAATATAAAACATATAAACAGTGCTGTGAAAAATACTGACAACACTGAGAAACACTGAAATACTGTGCAGTACTGAAAATGTTTTATCCAACAAAAAATACCATGAAATAAAGAGAAACACTGTAAATCTTTAATAAAGTCACTTATATCTAAATATCAGTGATATTTAATTACTGATTAATTTAATTTTATCCTCTTCCACTGTTTTCACTTCAGTCTCTTTTGTTATATTTAGAGTTTGAGCTGTTTCAGCCATTAAGTTCTGTATAAATAAAGTTCTAATTATTATACAGTTCTAATTATTATACAGCTGAAACAGCTCAAACTCTAAACATAACAAAAGAAACTGAAGTTTATTTATATATATATATATATATATATAATATATATATATATATATATATATATATATATATATATATATCACACGTCAATGATCCAGTTAAACAAATGAAACTGAAAAAAAAAAACAAAGCATTTTTAATAAGGATATTGATCGATTTGACAGAGGAAGCAATGTAAAATCATAAAAAGTGTGAATGACTTTATTCAGTGTAAAGGTCCGTGACCCACTTACCAGCCTGCAGACTCACCTCAGAAGAGCCACTGAGTCCAAAACAAGTGTGGACGTTCTGACAAATCAGAACCAAACATAAGACCAGATCCACAGACTTCAGCTTTATAACCTCTAAAACCTCTAAAATCAGCCGTGTCCATGCTCTGGACTCAGTTCCGGTCTGTTTTCAGTGTTTTTTAAAAGGTTTCAGGTGAATTCAGCAGTGAAACTCACCTCCATACAGGACTTCGCGCCTCTCTCCTACAGCATATTTAATATGTAATCTAATTAATCATCACACCAGCTGAGAAACTACAGGCCTGAACAACAAACTCCCATCACACAGAACCAAACAGAAAACCAGCTCCTTAAACACTCCAGCTACATTTCAAAGACCTTTTAAATCACGACTCAGCTAATGTCTCATTTATTTCACCTGAAAATGAGGGAAACCTTCAGAGAACTTAATAAAACTGTACATAAGTGCTTATATAAAACAAAGCGCACTCACGGGCCTAAAGTCAGCCTAACTAACTCTAAACTCAGCTGAGGGGTCTCTTTAAAGGCTCTGGGGGGGGGCTTACCTGGATCAGACTGGCCTCAGCTCCTCCACACAAACACGCACAGAGTCGCTGCTCCTCTAACAGGTGTGAGATCCGGCTCAGGTGATCAAACTCAGAGTTTTCCTCCGTTTATTTCCGTCTTTCCTCCTTTAGCCCCTTTAACTCTGACCGTAAACCGCCGAATGAAGAGTCTGAGATCAGTTTCCGTCTCAGTTTCTGCTCATAAACACCAAAAACCCCAAAACACCACTCACATTCAGTCCGCAGCTTTTCTCCGTCCGCTGGGGGCTCAGTCCGCTCCTATTGGTCATTTCTCTAAGGGGGCGGGGCGAACGGGCCGTGCAGAGACACAGAGCGACAAGCAGAGGGCGCCAAACCAGCGATTAGTAGTTTTAGCGCTTTGAAGTGAAAAATCTGGTTTAAGTCTTTTATTTTGTAAAGGTCAGTCTTATGATGTAAATAGTCAGTGTGAATAATTGAGTGTGTAAAAGTTTGTGATGTATTTTTTGGGTGTTTTTAATGTTTTTTTTTTTCTTGGTAAAGTCAGAAACGCTTTCCAGACGTGGTTTTTCGGTCAACGGTGCCCTCTGGTGGACACTGCTGGGTACTACAAGAAGAATGACGCTGCAACAGGTGAACACAGGAGGATAAAACATCTGCTGCATCACATCTGTCCACACAGAGCGCGCACACATTTACTAAACACGCCTACATTGTAACGTCTGGGCCAGTTTTGGATGTGCAAATATAATATAATATAATTGTGACACCAAAAATCAAAATACCAGCCACTTCACCTGTGAAACATTACCCTCCACTCACTTTACATGCTCAGGAACGTTCATCTGCACACATTTGAGGATGCTTGTGTTACACTGCTGAGAACTATTACTAATTATCAGTTCACTGGTGATGATATGCACAACCCCACTGTACACTGGGTAATCTCTACTGTCCTGTGCTTATTTATTTTGAATTATTACTAATATTAGCCAGTTTCAATGCACTGCACTTCAATCCCCAGCATGCTCTGCAACGAAATGTGTTTTCCCAACACCCAACAACAATCGATGGGACAGCAGTTACACCACAATTCTACCACTTTGTCACATCACCAAACACACTACCTGCGTCTCAGCTGCAGTTCACCTACTATAAACACCATAAACAATATAAGCACAACAAACACTACAAATACTATAAACACTATAGACACTACAGACACTACAAACACTATAGACACTATTAACACTACAAACACTAGACAATATAAACACTACAAACACGACACAATAAACACAGCAAACACTACACAATAAACTCTAAACAGTACAAACACTAACACATTAAACACTATAAGCACAACAAACACTATGAACTCTATAAACACTATAGACACTATAAACACAACAAACACTACACAATAAACACTAAAAATGCCACAAACACTACAACACTATATATACTATAGACACTACAAATACTATAACACATTAAACACTACACAATTAACATTAAACACTACAAATGATACAAATGTTATAAACATTATGAACACCATAAACACTATAAACACCACAAACACTCTAAACACTATAGACACTATAAACACTACAAACACTATAGACACTATAAATGCTATGAATGCTATAAACACTACAAACACTGTAAATAACACAAATGCTATAAACATTATAAACACCATAAACTCTACAAAAATATAAACACCACAAACACTGTAAACACTACAAATGCTAGACACTATAAACACTACGAACACTATAAACACTACAAACACTATAAGCACTATAAACACTACAAACACTATAAAAACTACAAACACCATAACACATTAAACACTATAAACACAACAAACACTACACAATAAACACTAAGCACTACAAACACTATAAATGATAGAAATGCTATGAACACCATAAACAATATGAACACTATAAACACTCAGCAGCTCAGAAACTGATCCCGAGAGTGAATGAAGATGCCAGACGTGTAGATGAAGCGCAAAGCTAAGTTTAAAGACCCACCTGTTGAAATACCACTACAACTGCCTGTATTTTGCTGCTGACGTTTTGCTGTATTTTGAATAAACAATGGTCAGTTTGGGTCACAGCAAAATATTATTTAAACTCTTGTGAAAAAGGGAAATGAGGGGTTTTGTTCCCCGTTTGAATATTTTTGGGGGTGAGTTCTCTTCAAATTGCCACGACAGTTCTGGGTTAGTAATACTCTCTAATCTGCTCCTGTAACGTTCTGGGATTATTTCTCATCTCTCTTTATTAAACTGCCTCCAGGAAACTGACATTTATCTGAATTATTTCTCTTTTTTTCCTCACTTTTACCCGCCTAACTCCGGAGCAGCAGAGGCCTCTCAGCGGTTTGGGATTTATTTTCACTTCTAACCTCTTAAATCTTTGAAAGGCTGTGAGAAAAGCGCTTTTTAATGAGGTCACATT